GAGCAGGGAGCCCAATGCGGGGCTCGATCCCAGGACCCTGAGATCATGACCTGAGCCGAAGGCAGACGCTTAAGGACTGAGCCACGCAGGCGCCCCTTCTTTCCCTGATATAAGCAGTTAAGCTGTATAATTTCCTCTAAATACTGCTTACGTGCATCCTAGAAGATTTGGTGTGTTTTTATAACTCCGTTTAAAATATTTTCTAATTTCCAGGGTGATTTTATCTTTGACCCAAGAGTTACTTAAAAGCATGTTAGTCAATTTCCAAACATACTGAGATTTGCTAGTTGTCTTCTGATTAGTGTTTCTACCTTAATTGCATTGGGGCTGGAAAGTAATCTGCATGGTAGCAGTCTTTTGAAATTTGTTAAGATTTACTTTATGAGAGTATAGTATATGGTAGATTTTGTAATGTTCTGTATTTGCTAGAAAAGAATGTGTATTCTGCATATATTTAGACGGAATCCATGTAATTCAATTAGATTAATCGTGTTTTCAAATCTTTATGCTGATATTTTTGGTCACTTTGTCCTCTTGTTCATTTTTCCACAAACATACAAGATTTGTCTATTTCTTCTTTTAGTTCTGCCAGTTCTTTTTTAATTGAGATATACTTGATATATAACATATTAGTTTCAGGTGCACACCATGATTAAATATATGTATATATTGTGAAATGACCACTACAGTAATTTTAGTTCACCTCCTTCACCACGCAATAATTTTACATATCCCATGCATATAATTTTTATGTAAAAAAATGTGTTAAAATACGTAGAAAGTTTTTGAATGTATCTTTAGTAATTTCAGTTTTCCCTCGGTAAATCTAAACTTAGGCAATTGTGGAATTACTTAACAAAACATAGAGGGAAAGCTGGCCTAGTAATGTTACATTCCATCATAATAGGCAGGAAGCCATTTCAGAAACATGTGAACTTTACCATGAAGAGTGTAGTATTTTCTCAAATCCCAGGGCCTTTATTTTCATTTCTTCAGATAAGCTGTATTGGGTAGAACTGAAAAGCTGTTACCATTTGAGAAAAATGGTTTATGGTTCCTTTTCAGTAGATTTTTAAACACAAGCAGTAAAATTATATATTAATTGGGTTTTTTAATGTTGACACATCATTTCATAGGATAAATTCTGCTTACTTAGTGTTTTATTGTAGGGAAAATGTGTATAGGGAAGCAGTTGGGAAGATAGGCTCACAGTCCCCGCATAAAGGGCTATGTTGAGAGGAGGTAGAATTAGGTTTAAGAAAGTGGCTAGCCTTTTAAAATGTGGCAGATCCAGGGGCGCCTGGGTGGCTCAGTTGGTTAAGCGACTGCCTTCGGCTCAGGTCATGATCCTGGGGTCCCGGGATCGAGTCCCGCATCGGGCTCCC